CAGAGTCCAAAACTCATCTTCAAATGGACTTCCCTCGTGTACCCCCAGTCAGCCGTATCTAATGACACTATTGCTCTATTGCTCTGGTCCTTGGTTAGAATGGTTTATCTAGACATTAGAGAAGACCCAGAGATTGGTATCTGTGGATTTTTCAGGATGAAACCTGTTTGATCTATGTTGACAAGTTTTTTTTAAAATCCACACTGATTAGGGCAATGGGGTGCTAAGACAAATAAAGAAGGAAATCCTTCCCTGATTTAGGGAGGAGTACTACATGGGCATTATACATTGAAGTGGGCAGATGCTGGGTCTCTAGGCATGGTCATAATGTGCTGCAGCCTAGGTGCCATATGTGAAGCATGTTGTTTGTACCAGTCCGCAGGGAACCTGTCAGGGCCCAGGGATTTATCATTTGGGAAGAAAAGTATAGCTTGTTCAATCTTAAGAGCAGAAATATAAGCTTCTACAGACTCACCTCCTCCAGGCTAGGGATCAGGAGGGACGGTAGTAGGGATTTTTAAGGAATCCTACGTAGTAGGGGCTAATCAGGGAGTACAGTTCAATAAAAAGCTGTCTTAAGGCTTGCATTATTTTGGATCAGTGTTTCTGGACCTGTATGATATTTAAATGCAGGGTATTTTAGAGTGGGGTTACTGTTCTACCACCAAGGGGACCAAAAATGTACATATTCAGAAGTGACTCTGAGTGAGCAGTGAGTCAGCTCTGTTAAATGAAGCCTTAGTTACCTCCTGGACTAAAGCAAATTAACCACTTCAAGACCAGGTGTTTAGACCCCCTTCCTGGCCAGGCCATTTTTCAGTATTCAGCGCTGCAGTACTTTGACTGACATTTATTTCGTCATGCAACGCTGTACTGAAATTAATTTTATATCATTTTTGGGGGACAGATAGAGCTTTCTTTTTGTGGTATTTAATCACCACTACGGGTTTTATTTTTTACTATAATTAAGAAAAATTACTGAAAATTTTGAAAAAAAAGGTTTTTTAACATTATCTTAGGAAACATTTATTATTACCCAGTTTTTTGGTAAAATATAAAAGTCGGGGTCACTTCGGTTAAATAGACACCAAACATGTCAAGCTTTAAAATTGTGCGCACACGCGACATTGCAGAAAACTACCATACCCAAAATTGGCCATAGGTGACACTTTAAAAGCTTTTACCGCTCATCAGTTTAGTGTTATCAGTGATTGATGGCCCTAGACTTATTGCTCTCACTCCGACGTTCGCGGCGATATGTGACATGTGCAGTGTAATGGGCGCAATCGTCTTTTTTGCACGTATGCGCCCCCAACGCATGTTTGCATGCGTGTATGTATGGGTGGGGACTTAAAATTTTTTTTAAATTCTTTTTTATGTATAACTTAACATTTTTGGGGGGGTATACCCAAGTTGTTGATAAGGGATCAGAATCGAATAGGGCCTTTAAAGGTCCAATGTTGGTAAGAGGAAAGGGAGTCCAGACCTGGGAAAAAAACCTGTGTTGTGGAGAAAGGAAAGCAGCGATAACTGAGGGGACATAAGGTTTCCAGAGTATTTTACATAATCCCAGATTGAAAGAGAGAGTTGGTGAAGGGGTTTGATATGAAACGTCTATCTTGGGGGAGTAGCCAAAGTAGGTTATCAATACCGATCGGGTCACAATCTATAGCTTCGAGGGATACCCATAAGGGCATTTCGGAACTAGCTTGGTATTTAAGCAAGGGGACAATTCGTGCAGCTCGGTAGTTAAGTAGTAAATTAGGCACACCCATCCCACCGCGTTGACGCGAATGGAAACGTGTGACCTTACTAACTTGGGGTTTACGACCCACCCAGATGAAATGTAATATCTGAAGCTGCAAATTATGAATCACACAGAGGGCGTAGGGACTAGAATTAGAAGGACCCTAAAGAAATAAAGCAGTTCGGGTAGGTATGTCATCTTGACAGCTGCTATGCGCCCCAGCCAGGAGAGTGGGTGATTATTCCAAGCTGACAGTAAGGACGTGAGGGTTAGTTCGCCTTATAGAGGGTTTCGTGAGAGGCCGTTAGTTTGATGCCTAGGAAAGATAGATGGGAATCTTCCCACACCAAGGGAAAGGCGGAGCAGAGATGTTGAGTAAGGGGGATCAGGAGCGAAATGTTCAGTGCCTTGGATTTGTCCAGCTTGATAGGTAATTATAATTTTCTATTGTTTCCCAAATGACAGAAAGCTACAGAATTAATGTTCTCAATCATCATCAATGTTCTCTACAATCATTTTTGCTACAGTGATCCTTAAAGAAAAAGTGAGACCTCCCCATTTTACAGTAAATCAGACCTGAAACCATGTAACTTGCACACATAAACAGAAACAGTTAGCGCCTGATTGGATTATTTACTTAACAAATTCGAAGAGGGATGGAACTGCCCCTTGACCAATCAGAACGTGCAGTCTTGTATTTATTGGTAAAAATACTAAAGGGTGAAGAGTTTGGAGAAGGCAGGAGAAGTGAACAATCTAGGCCAAAATAGCTGATTTGGAAAAATTCTCCAATTCAGCTTTACATATTAGAATGTAACAACATAGATATCGCCAGGCCAAGGAACTGTTTTAAAAAGACTGCTTTATAAATCCACCTTGACAACAATGGAAAGAGTTAGAACAAACAGTAAAACAATATGATTTATGCACACAGAAAGGAAACACAAAGAACGTTATGCATGTGATTAATATACCAAACAATTTATAAGCCAAGATAACTAAAGAATAAAGATGAACCTCTGAAAGGTTAAACAATCCAAACTTTTAGGATGGCCTCTTTGGGAAGCACTATAGCAATTAAACATGTGCTGAAGCGGCAACATTTTGGCGGGATCACTCCTTAACTTCTCGTTGGCTCCTTCTCCCTGAGCATATTTTTATGATGTTGCATTATGGATGAAACGTATTGGGAACGCGTTCCAGACTCGCAATGGCATTGCCACAGTATGCCTTAATGAACCATTAAACAGCTCAGCTGGAGTGCACAACAAAGCAGCAATTATTTCTCGTTCTGTTCTTGAAAGGAAAGATGCCTAGAGCTGTAAATCAATACGGGAAGGCAGTCAGTACGAGCACTGACAAGGAACAAGATAGATAAATTAAATATGACTATTTCAATTATTGTTCAGATTAGATGAGGAAGTAATCATCTAGCTTCTATTCTTTGAATGTGCATCAATTTATCACAGAGTAGGAGAAGAGATAGAAAAAGCAGTAAATTAATGCTGCTTTATAAACAGCATCTTCCGCAGGAGCCTGAGCTCAGAGGATGGGTTTGGCAGCCACAGTGCTGGAATGTGTCAACTGCTATGCAGCTATACCAAAGCGCTCAACCTGAAAGGCAAACACCATTTCACTGCCCTGCTGATAACTACAATGTATTTCCTTTACTTTCCTAAAAAGCATCAGGAAAGAGGAAGAGCATTAATAATTCTATACAAAGAAAAAACAAATCTCATTATTTTTGTATCTATTAATGCTGAACTCCAGGCAAGCAGCTACCTACACGGATAAAATTCATTACATAAAGGGTTAGTTCACACCATAAGCAGTGCGTTCCGGTCCGATTCTGGCCGGAACGCAGTGCCCGCATTGCGGCCGGCTCACTTTTTCGCCGGGCTGGAGGAGGGCGTGACGGTCCATTGAAGTGAATGGCACCATAGCCACACCCTCCAGCCGCAATGCGATCGCTTTGTGCACTGCAGCACAACTAACTAGCTCATTGTGCTGCTTCTCCCTCACCCAGTCTTAGCTCTACTGTTAAATGCAAATACATATACTGCTTGCAGTTAAAAAAAACATGTAATGATTACTGAGCTGCATTAATATGTGCCTTTTATATCTGCCTGGAGGTCAGCTCTAAGAAGAACTGTAATCACGACTGGAAACTAGGGCTGCAACCAACTAATCGAATATGAGAATAGTTGTCAACTATTATCATTATCAATCAGTTGGCTGGATCCGCTAGCTCTCTCCTCCACATTGGGAGGGGGACACAGCAAGAAGTGGGCGGGTGCAATAGACAGCCTGCTATTGCAATTTGAAATGGCCAATAGCCGGGTGGTTAGTGCACCAGCCCACTACCTGCTGTAATTACATTCAGCTGCTGCCTCCGGAATCTTGCCACTGGCAGCTGTCATTCCCTGGCTGTAGCTATTCAAGCTCTATGCGCTTACAATACAATTATAAGAGAAGATGATAAAAGGTGGAGAAAAAAAGCATTCCTAGTGTAACAGAATTACTTTCAATTTGTAAAAATACTCCACACTGAATTTTTTAAAATTCTTCCGCAAATGTATTTTTTTTCCGGAAAAAAAAGTGTTTTTTTTCCATGGCTTCAAAAGTTCCAGAAATGTTACATCTCTACTCCTACGACTGTCATAGACTGTGTGTAACAACCTGTGTATAGCAGTTCTATAGGTAAGAACACCATGTTAAAATATATTTGTAGGCAAGACATTTTAGTTTTAGACTAGCAAAAGAGTTTTTATTCCTCTCTGTGACCCCACTAGATAGATTCACTTTCTCTATTTGTTCTGATGACCAATACCACTGAGCCAGCAAGTGACTAGAAAATTCCACTATGAGATTTCCTCTGGCTTCTTGCTGCATCTCTGGGACAGGAAATGAAGGGAAATCTCTCTAACCAAACAAAGACAGCACAAAATAAAGTGACAGGGGTTTTACCATTCCATATGCTATTAAAAAAAATGTTGGCTATACATACACTACATTAATTAATGAGGAGAATGGCCAAACTCATTCAAGCTGATGTCTACAACTGCCCAGATAACCAATAGTGGCGTGCAGAAGGTATCTCTGAATGCACAACGTGTCAAACTTTGAAGAGATGACCAGGTTTCATTTATTTCTCAAGACCAGGGATTTAAGCCTACAGTGGACATGGAATCACCAACTCTGGATGAAATAATATTATTCCAATGTGTATGATCACCTTTAACCAAGACAGTACCTTTTTCTGTAAAACGTTGATTTTCCTCTCCTTGACTTCAAGCATGTCTTTCATATCTCTGATCTCCCCAGCCAGGGTGCCTTTCTCTTCTGTAAGGTCCTGAAGCTGCTTGGTTTTCTTGCTTAGAAACGATTCCTTCTCTTCCAATCTCAGCCGTAAAGCATCCACCTGAAAAAAAATAGAAAATTGGCATTTATGTAGGGGTAGTTTAAGAAATTTAAGTGACCAATATGACTTCAGCTGTCAACCTTTTTAGTACACATTACACACCTAAAGAGAAAATCTATTGCAGGCAATATTTATTTCAACCCCTAGACATTAAAACAAGTAAAAAAAAAAAAAAATGGAACCTGGTGTATGTGTTCTATTGGAAATAATGCAGATACCAACCATAAAATACAGGAATATTACATTATACAGACATCATAAAGATATAGTAAATCATTCCTAAGTAACATATACATGTTATATATTCTGCTAATATTTTCAAGCAAATCAACCAAGTTGGCACCTGTAGATCTCTTTAAACAGGAAAGCAGTACATTAAAGAAATCACCCTGTTATTCCTCTAGGTGTACATGATCCCATCCCCAACTGTTGCAGGGCATGAGCACTGGGCTAGTATATCTAAATGATTTCTATGACAACCGTCTTCATGCAACGTCTGAACAACATACAAGGGTATTGCAGGGTTCTCCTCTCCTCAACCTACGATAAAGATTTATTTATTGTTTTATGATTAACTGTACAGTTGCTAGACCCTATTGCATTTACAAGGTATTGTATTACAAAACTAATTATTTGACTTAAAAAGGCTGCAAATTGCTGAGAATGGTTCTACAAGGTATGAGGAGTAACAGGACCATTAATTCCTAATATTAATAATAAGTATTCAATTATGCATTAAATAATCATATATGAGATCTGTTTTACAACTGCACACAAAGCCAACAAAATCAACCCAACCTACAAAAATAAAACCACGAACCTGTAAAACTTGAACTTGAAATATAAGTAGACACGAAAAGATGCACATACCTGAGGAGCTAACAAACTCTGGGTTCACACTACTGTGCAATTTGCTGCGCATTAACCTGTCTTACGTTAAGGTAGCCCATTGATTTGAATGGGCTGCCTAATGCACCAACGCACACTGAAAAAGCAAGCACTATTTTTTTGCAATGCAGCACACTACAATACATACTGTAGCAGTGTTTCCACTGCATTGTGATGCGTAGAAAAGCAAATCTGTTGGCAAAGTGTGTTTAGGTGTTATTTAAAATGAATGGCATTGCAACACACCAACATGTACAGTATAACATGTACTACCCCAGCATAATGTTGTGAATGGGGTCTTAGCACTCATAATAGAAGAGACATAGCATGCATACATGCATCAAACTGGGAAGGGAGCCATAGCATACATCAATAGAGGGAAGGGGGAAGGAAAAGTCCCTGTAAGCACATCGTGTTGGCCTTTACTTCTTAACCTAAAGTCAATTTTGTTTCCATTTTAACTATTCTAAGGTCCAGTGACTGATTGGCTGGCTCTGATTAAGCAGACATTCAGTGACTGTACCTGAAAACCTTTTCAAGCTGTAAGTAGATCTGAGCCCCATGGCTAGACCATGCTTAGAGCAGGTAAGGGTTAGAGAAACTTTTATTTTTGCAGGTTATGTACTAGCCAGTTGGTGGAGGCAGACCAAAAAATTTAATTCTACATTGGCCTTATTTATCAAAACATCTGTGCGAACTATTGTCATTGTAGCCTGCAGTTACCAATTAAATTCTTCTATTCCATTTATAACTTGCATATTAAAAAGATGACCTGTTGGTCAGGGAAGCACAATGGCCACTTAGTTAAAGGTTATGCAATGAAAACAGAGACAATTCTTTTTAAAAGGGAACTATGGGGTAAGTGTTTTTCCTTAAGGGTCACGGGAGGACATATACTAGCGTCCTCCCGTGACCCAAAGCTCAGTATATCGCGAGCTACAGCTTGCGGTATACTGAGACCGCCGCAGCCGGGACGGATCCCGATATTACTGTCGAGATCCACCCAGCTGCGTGAGTGACAGCTGGCTCTGCCTATCTAGAGGCAGAGCCAGCTGTACCTGCCCCCTCCCCCGTCCGTTCCTCGAGTCAGCGCTGGAGGATCGGAGAGGAGCGTGGGGGAATCCCTGCAGGGAGCTGTGATTGACAGTCACCGCTCTCTGCCGGGAGATGGTCAAGAAGTGAGCAAGTGACGGTATGCGTTCGCTCACTTCCCCATCTGTTGAGCCGACGTGTGATAGTTTCATTGTCACAGGTCAGCTCGAACTATGAGGTTGAGTGATTTTCACTCACCTCATAGTTCTCCTTTAAGTCTTTAAACATGCGGCCTGATGAAACAAACACTCACTCTAATTAGACATAACTGATAAAGTCATACCAGCTATCCTATTAAATAGTAGGCCTGCTGGTTCCTTTTAGCCCACCAAACCATAACCTATTGGGCTAAACGTTCTTGTTGGTCTCCAAGTCCTATTCCATAGAAGCACGTACAGCACTGATGATGAACAACAAGCCAAAAACAGCTGTATGAAGTCTAAAATTAATGGCTCTATAATATTAGACTGTATCTGTGCTATACAACAGCAGTTCTGGATTTACAGTTAGTCAAGGGGCATAACTGAAAGATTTGCATGGATCTCTGCCCACTTCCAAAATGAGGAATAATTCCCTTATTTATGGGTTATAAAATATAAAGAGACATGTGAACAGCATCTGTTCTAAGTCAGCTTCACCATGCTAATTATCCCATTCAAACTCTGTTCCTCCTGCTAACAGAAGTTGAAGGTAAAAGATCAAATGTTAGTAAAAAAAGACTTTACTTTACCATCCTTTACCAATAATATATTAGGCTCTCACTAAAGTGTTTCACTTGGACTACATGTATATAGAGCAGGTGTTTTGTACCTGCTACACCTTGAAAATGCAGTGCACAGGGCTGCAAGTGTACTTCTGAAAATACAGAGCAAGATTCAAATGCTTGTTGTTTTCACAGTCTTTACCAAATTGCCATCAAAGCTAATTCGATAGCATGGTGGAAACCCTGAATGCCATTTTTGACCCACTAGGCATATTTTGTTCCTCCCCCTCCTCTCATGCTTTCATGAAAAATGCTGGGGCAGAAGTTATAACAGCATTCATAAAACATGGCTGTAGACTTATTTAGGAAATCGATGTAGGCTCTTGGATTTGAGGCCACATAAACATTTCACATTAAAATGGCTCATTAATTTTCCTTAACGTTAAGAATTATTTTTTTTCTCAAAGTATAGCATATGGCACTAGAAAATAGGAAAAGTAAAGAGACCTTGCTAAAACGGCTTCACCGAGTACATTCATGAAATATGTGCTTTCTTTGTACACAAGAAGGCTCTCCCTCTGACTTTTCACTCAACACCACATAATTTTGGAAGCCTGTGCCTTTTTTCAATATCTGGCCGGCTCAGCTGGTAATAAAAGCTGGCAATCAATTGCAGAAAAGAGTAAAATTAGATCTAGGTACCCTCTCCTCTTGAGAGTAAAATGAAGATCTGTGGATTGTTGAGAATCTACTGAATTTGGCCATTTTTCATCTTCAAACTATAAATCACCTCAAGCGTTAAAGGGTTAATTTGCATTCAGAATGGGATCCATTTCCTCGGTGAAAGGGCCAGGGGTGTTACGCAGTGACAGCTGGTAAAAAGTGACAAAGTTGAACACATTCACTGTAAATCTTGATTAATTTTAATAATCCTCACACCATACCCAACAGTTTATACACTGTTACATATGCAGAGTTCAGTCATTGGGTTTCCTAACTTGGTACATTATGTATCATATGGCTAGTAGAAATGTGTGGAAATGTGTTTCTAATGCAGCGTGCCATTATTTAAAGCTGAAGCCTAATCAGATATCAAATACAAGGTGCTCTTTTAATACCTTTTAAGGTACTCTTTTAAATATATTTTAAATGCACCTTATTTTTTTTTAAATGTACCTTAGTTTGACTTGGCATTAGTTGTTTGCAGTTTCTGTACAGCAAAACTCAGAGGGGGAGGAAGAAGCAGCACAAGGAGCCAATCAGGGGTTGCATAGCAAGAAGCATGTGACAGAAAGATGAGCTCATCAGTGTGCTGCTTCTACTTTCACTGCCCAGTCAAAGGATGGGGGTAGGAACGAGACCTATAAGTCAAAGTGAAACTGCAGCAGACAAAGTTTAGGTTCCCTCCCCTGCAGGCAGGACTGTGTTGTGCAGCAGGGCTATATATATATCTCAGATCCAGATGGACAGAAATTCAAACCATTTGGCAGGTAAAACGGCTCTAAACAGCTTTATTGTAGATTTTTTTGTTCAATCTGAAGAGGCAAGTGAGCATTCAGAACTGAATTGAACCCCCCCCCCCCAAAAAAAAACCCATCTAACTAGGAAGCATTGAATGATCAAGAGTTCACCTTTTCTCAGGATCAGGAAAGTCTTTAAGGAGAAGAGTTCTACCTAAAATGAAATATGTTCTTCAGACCTGCCTTTACTTACAGTGAAACTCCAGCCCAAACATTTGTGTTTAGTTTAGGCTAGCATAGGAGAGGGTTAGAAACTCATTATGAATGCGGCAAATGTGCAGAACACATCAGTGATTGTTAACCTAGCAAACGTAATTAAATCAGATAATGTGTTAGCTGGCAAATGTGGCATTTTTAAATAAGACCTACCATTTTTTTTTTTCATAAAACTAACCCTTGCAGTGGGTCTAGCCCTGCACTGCAAGTGTCCAGTACTTTTTTTGGTATAGGGGCCGCAATCAAGAAGAAGACATACTCACCTGATCCTCAGTCCTGTGGTAGTTAGCTCACCTCCATCCTCCTACTCCCTAGCTGTGGGAATACTCTTTGGCAGCCTCATGTCTAATGCAACTCAATAGAGTAAAAAACGCCACTTACATACGATTGTCGGCGGGTTTTCAAGCCTGCTCGGGAGACAAAAGACGTGCGACCGTACAATAGACAGGGTCGCACGCCTTCCATACACCTGCCGATTATCGTACGATCGCGGGATTTCCCGCGATTATCGTACGATAATCGGCAGGTGTATGGGCACCTTTAGACTGCCAGAGCACAGGAGAGAAGTGAGCGAAATAAGT